CCAGTCGAAGGCGTTTGCATCCGCGTCTTTGTCCTCAGGTGGCGGCAATGGAGCAGTCCTTGGGGCCCCTCCAACCTCCAGATCGATCTCTTCATTCTTGTGGGCAGGAATATCGAAGTTGAAGTTACCCATCATCTTGGAACCATACGACCCGAGTTTGCTTGGCCGATGGCCAGTCACTGTTCCTTCGTGGTAATACGAGGCTTTGCGGTCGGTACCGTACTGTGGGAATAAATGCCGGAAGAGACACTTTGTTGCGGGCGCACACGCTGTCATTATGTGTACAGCCGGCTCAGCGATACTGATCACAATCCCAATATCCCATGTGCGGTCTTTGTTGGTAGGCGCAAAGCGGTAATAGTACACAATGAACCGCCCAACGGAGACTCCTGTCGCAATCCATCCTAGGCTCATAACAAACACTACCAGGACCTTCGTGCGTTGGTGCATCTGGAGATTCCACACCATGATTGTCGGAATTGGCATAATGATGAGATCCATGAAGATTGAAAGGCCACAGGATACCAGTACAAAGGTACGGGCGTCGATGCATGTACCGCCTGGTATGACAGTTCCATTGGGTCCAATCTTGTCCATAGCAGGCCGAGACCAGGCATAGGGGTACGGGGTGCATTGGGTCAAGTTGACGATGGTGGATCCTATGGAGTAGACAATGTTGAGCCAGGTGACAACATGCAACGGATATCGTACTCGCCGACGACTGTCCTTCATCCGGAAAAGAAAAACGATGATTGAAGCTCTGATCAGCCCCATGACTGAAGCTTTGTTAGCAAAGACACTACAGACGCAGACCTGGAGAAGCACATACGTGGGTGATACAGCATCTGGATTGAGAAGTTCCAGTGTAGAGCGACGAATTGCTCATGGACGGACTTCTTGGGCAGGTCGTATACGTGGTAGCCTGTACCACTCAGAACGATGTAAACCCATGTTGCAATCGTATCCGCGAGGAAGATCACGGCTGCGATGAGGATGAGGTAGTCGTCCCAACAGAAGTTTCGTCCAAGGTACCGGGACCACACCCTCAGAAAGACCGTCAAGGACGCGACAACTGTGAAAGTACAGACTATTGCGAGGGCGGCAGGCTGTCGGTTTTCGATCATTCTGGAGGCGGTCGTCGCCCGCGGCGCACGACGAAGAAAGTCCCAAGGGTCAGACCTGCTGAGTTGTTAACAACGTAGGAGGTACCTCCCAGCTTGACGATCTAGAAGCCGGGAGTTCTCTGGTGTGCGAAGATCGTTGGCCCCAGACAGATGATCACAACCGCGAAGCGAGTGTGGAGTATCGGCGCGATTCAACGGGCTTTTGGAGGGACGAAGCGGAGAGGATGAACGGTCCTGGTCCACCCAGAAAGAACCAATGCACCTCCGACGGGTATCTTTGATGATGTTGCCCTACAAGTGGATGGCTCAGCGCACGCAAGAGGTCGCACAGCCAGTGCCTTGAGAGCAGAGATTTGAGAGGATTCGCCCACAGACAACTCGTCGGCGAGGTTGGAGACCAAAACCGGATATGCCGCTGCTCTAGCCTCTGAATCCGGTATGACAACCCGCCCAAGCACCTGAGACATTAGTCGCCATCGACACTGGCCCTTACGCGCGAAACCAGCGCGGAAGCCGTCTGTATTCCGCCTGTGTAGTTTGCTGCCGCTTTACCACAACAAGTGCTAGAGTGTCGCATGAAGCTGAGAACGGCTTGTTTCGGACCGAATTCGGGCTGACATGTCCAGCCGTCCTGTGAACTCTGGTTCTGGCCGCTGGCGCAAGGCAGGGCAAGGCTCGAGTACGAAAACTGCCGCGCACGACTACAAATCCGCGAGTCAATGGCTTGGTTAGCCCATGTTTGTGGAAAAATGTGACGTCGATCACCAAGGCTAGCTCTCTTATGCCTGCGTGTGGCTTAAGGGGATAATTTCTATTTGGCTAGTTTATTGTCCGATACAGGGACTGAGGCAGCTACTCCAAACGTCCACGTTCTTGCACACCGTACAACACACCACTCGATATCTGGACATGTATGGGTCTCGTGTTTGGTGGGGGTCACGATGAAACACAGATAACGGTGAGGCTCAAGAAAGGAATGGGAATGTTCGTCGATCATGACTCTCTACCACCACGCTAGCATTCCATTAGCTCAAACGCAATGCCGACCCCGGACGACAGGCCCCACTTCTATTCAGAGAATACATGCCGGGCCCAGTCCTAGCATGGTACCTGAATAGCACGTGGCTGCCCACGGGCGCCCGCCTTGCGTATTTTCACACATTTTAGCTAAGGGGTCAGGGGTCCATTATCGCTACAGAGGCCGAGACCCAAATCCGACGATGCATGCCCGTGTCTGTGAAGAAACACGCATTTTGCCACATGGTCGTACGGAATACTATCACGGTGTGCGTGGATAGGCTGAGAGTCCATGGATCAATTCTAGCCCCATGTCATCCATCCCGGTTGCCCCAGCTGTCAACACGTCTTTCTGTGCAAGATCAGCAGTCACATTCAATGCAACCGCATTAGCCCACCTCGTGCCAAGGGACGGCATGCTCAACGTTGCCTCCTAGATTGAGTCAGTCAGTAAGATGAGCAGAATGGCCGTCCTCTTGATACTCGCCTTACCGCGTAACGGTCCGTAGCTCGCCAGTTCCCGCAAGCACCAGGGGAAAGGTAAGAAATAGCAAAAGACGATAGTACGAACAAACTTTCTGATGAGCATTCAGATCAGCATCTACTCAGACTGTGGCCGATCCCTTGCCAAAACTTACCTTCTCGGTCTGACTCGAAGACCCTGAACCAAGACGCAAAACCGTTGCGACTATGGCTGTAACGTTATGGCTCACGGCTTTGGCCGCCGCGTCAGCAGCTGCCTCTCCACATGTTTCCGCGAAAGTTGAGACCGATGTATTCAACGCAGAAGTTGATCTGCAGGGCCTCTCTCCTACAGTCAAGGCTCTCTTTCTCCCACGCTCCTCTGGCATCACTCCTCCCAAGAACTCGACTTCCAGGTGTAAAGTCTACCCTGGAGACCCTGAGTGGCCCTCGGATGAAGCCTGGTCCCAGCTAAGCAAACTCACTGGCGACCGCGTCATCACTGCCCCTACTCCTCGAGCTGCAGTGTGCTACCCAGGCGAAGACTACAACGCCGCAGAATGCTCCCAGTACACTGTTGCAGAATGGCAGAAATCATACCTCCACATGGTTGATCCAATCGAGATGATGTCCCCAGTAGCACAGGGCATGACATGTACCATCCCAGCCCTCTACGACTCCCATGGCTGCACTCGAGGCGGCTTTCCTATGTACGTCGTCAACGCCACTGAGCCCAAGCACGTCCAGCTTGCCGTCAACTTTGCTAGGAACACGGGCGTTCGACTCGTAATAAAGAACACCGGCCATGACTTTCTCGGAAAGAGTGGTGGCAAAGATGCTCTCAGCATCTGGACACACAATATGAAGGACATTGAGTACATTGAGGAGTACGTTGACTCAAAGCTCAACTACTCGGGCCCTGCATTCAAGAGCGGTGCTGGTGTTCAAGCGTTTGAACTTTACAAGGCTGCATCTGAAAAGGGCAGAGTTGTTGTTGGCGGAGAAGGCGAGACAGTCGGCGTCATGGGAGGCTACATCCAGGGAGGAGGCCACTCACCTCTGACACCTCTTTACGGTACTGCTGCTGACAGCGTCCTCTCGATGGAAGTCGTCACTGCGAATGGCGAATTCGTCGTCGCAAACTCGACCTCCCACACCGACCTCTTCTGGGCTCTCCGTGGCGGCGGTGGCAGCACCTTCGGCGTCGTCACCTCCGTAACCGTAAAAGCGCACCCCGACCTCCAAGTCACCGCTTCCCGCTTCGGCTTCAAATCCAGCGACACAGGCGTCGAGACCTTCTGGGCCGCCATCCGCGCCTACGTCGACTCCTTCATCGCAAACGCCGACGCAAGCACCTACACCTACTGGGTTCTCATCCCCACCAACGGCACCTTCTCCTTCTCCTTCTCCCCCTTCTTCGCCCCCGGGAAATCCCTCGAAGAAGCAACCGCCCTCCTCCAACCCTGGTTCACAGAGCTCGACAACCTAGGTATTAAGTACGACCCAAATATTACCCACTTCGACAACTTCTACTCCGCCTGGCGCTCCTCCTTCCCGCTAGAAGCAGTTCAGAAACCAAACGTCGCAACCGCCTCGCGCCTCTTTCCCCGCGCAAACTTCGAAACCGCGGAGAAGCGCCAGGAGTTTTACGAGAACATTCGTCGCTCTTCTGAGAACAACCGTGTTCAGGTGCACTTCAACATGCAGGCTAAGGATCCTTACAACACTGATAATGCGGTGAATTCGCACTGGAGGCCCCTCACCTCGTTTAGCATGCAATCGGTGCGCTGGCCCATCAACAGCACTGCCGAGCAGATCCTCAAGATCCGAAAGGACTTTCAGGAGGGCGACATGCAGGCTTGGAGGAATATCAGCCCTGGTGCGGGTTCGTATCTTGCTGAGGCGGATCGCATGGAGCCGGATTTCGGAGAGGCGTTTTTCGGGGAGAAATACCCCAAGTTGTTGGAACTTAAAAAGAAGTTGGATCCTGAGGATGTGTTTTTTGCGACTACGGGCGTGGGAAGTGAGCGGTGGAGGGTAGAGAGTGTTGATGGGTTGCCGAATGAGAATGGAAAGTTGTGTCGGGTTGAGATGTAAAAAGGGCAGGGCTTTAGGGGATGTGGTGGCATATATGGTTTTTCTTCTTCTTATATATATTTGGCATTTTGCCTGCTTTATTTCCTTGGGTAGATCGGCCACTGATTTGAGGCCTTGTCGCTCATTGTAGTGTACTTGTACGGGGATCAAAATTGCATCCGTGGAATTGAGGCAACACAAGCGTGTTCAGCTTGAGAAACTGAAACAAATTTTTAATATTCATCATCTCTTCTCCGACTTGTTGCTGTGGTCCCAAGGCATTTTTCCAAGGACTTGTTCGTAGGAAAAGATGAGTCCCATCTACATGAGAAACACCCGCCTCGCAAGCTTCATTACCGGAACCATCAGCTTGTTCACTACACCAGACTGTGGCGATCCACGCAGAAACCATGCATACACAGAATTCCAGGCATCATTACCACCACCTTCAAGAATATCTCCATGACAAGGAATGATACGCGCGATCTGCCACTGAGCCACTTTCTTCGCATCACGCCGCATAAGAGCGTAGTCGACTGTAGCAATATAGTAGATAAGCTGCTTCATCCATACGGATTGGGGATGTGCTCTCTTTGCGAATTCGCGTGAGAGTGGACCTTGCTCCGAAGAGCTTGGATGGTATTGCTGGTGTGAATCAGCTCATTGGACTCCAGTCACGCAAATATGGTCTGGAAAAGATCCTCTGACACACCATCAAAACCATACCTCAGTACACGGCAAATTCATCAAAAGATCAGATTGTATTAGTGTCTGCGTTGGCTTGTGGTACCAAGCCACACAATACGTAATAAACCCTTCAAAAAGCACAGTCTCCACATCTTGCGCAAAGTCGAATTGATCTTCCGGGCTCGAAGTCCAGTCTTTGTAAATGTAGTCCCATTTTACGTCTTTTCTCTTCTTATCCAGGCCAGGAACGCCAATAGTTTTTGCTTCTGGCCACGCATCCGTGTACTCTTTAACGAACATGTGATGGCCAAGGTCACTGCCGATGAGATGGACGCCTCCGAGTTGGCTGAGTTTTTCATGCACGGCTTGGTCGAGTTGGATGGGGTTTAGCAGGAGGATACGATCATCCTCTAGTCGGATAGCGGTTGCGCGGTTGCCGACAGCGACAAATTTGCGGTAGCCAAGGGGCGCAAAGCGGTTGAAGGGGACTGTGAAAGTTGTGATTTGCGGAGTGACGTCCCGGATTTTAAGTCCAGAGGTTGACATGATTTGCGATTCAATCTTGTTTGGACCTATCGAATTCTCTCGAGCGCAATATAGTTGATGTAGCGTTTGCGCAATGTTATGGTGAGCATGAGTGAGATGTTGTGTCTGGCGCACAATTGTACGTCATGCTTCATGATGGCGTCATGGGAAACGCGGCGCTCCAGGAAGCCGCAAGTCCTACAGCAACGCAACTGACCCTCTGCATCATATGGCCCCCAATTCACAAGACAAAACTTTCGGTACTTCCAAAAGCTACGGAAAGACCAATCTTACCCATGATAATTGGTTAGATTTATAGACCGCTCCAACCCATTTTAATTGATTTAATCCAAGGCCAGCGGAGACTACAGATAGCTACCACTTGAGAAGCGGTCACTAAAGCCTTTAGACTTGTTCAACATTTCTCTCCGTTGTTTGTGAGTGGTCATGCCGCCGACAGCCATGTCCTTTTTGTAGTCGAATGCACGCTTGCTGGGATCGTCTTCTTCTTCTTTCCCGGTGCCCTTTTCCTGATGTTGCTCGACAAGACTCTTTCCTCTGCTTGCATCAATTTTCTCGCGCATCTTACGTGCACGGCGCTCTTCCTCTTTGCTGCGCTTCGACTCCGAGGTAGCAGGAGCTGCGTTGGTGGGCGCGGTAATGCCCAGAGCTTCGTCCTGCAGCCGCTTGAGCTTTTGTTCTGGAGTCTCTGTCCAGGCACTGCTCATTCCCCCCGTACTGCCCGCGCTCTTGCCTGTGTTGAACTTGCGAGCGCGCATCTTTGTAGGGTCCATACGGGCAGCAAGATCGTCCTGGGTAGGCGGTAGAGTCATCCACTCGTCGCGTTGTGCCGCCTTAGGAGCCTCGGCAAATTGGGGCTCTGTGTCAAAAGCAGACTTTGCTGAAGCGATATCGAAGCCTGATTGAGCACCTCCTGGCGGTGGTGGCGCTGGTCCAAAGTCATCGTCGCTGCTGTCCGAGTCGTCGTCACTGGGAGGGTCCTGAGGTCGTTCCTCAAGAGGTGCAGGAGGCGCGGCAGGTCCTATGACTCTGGATGGTTTCGAATTAGGCGGGGGTGCCGGGCCAATATCACTGTCTACGCTGCTTGATCGCGAACGACTTTGTGGTGGTGGAGCTGCTGGACCAGCTACCCTTTGGCGCTTGTCGGTCGACTGTGGACTGGATTCGCGGTCTTCGTCAGTCTCATCGCGGCTGCGCTTGGCGAGATGTGGCGGTAATGTTGGTCCTATTGAAGGCATGCTGGGTATGATTTTTCCACAGTGTTTTGGGTGAAGGGCTTACTGTCGCGTGCAGCGAGGTGACGTCCTTGGGGGAGCTTGGACCTTGGCCATGGATGCGGCAGATGCGGCCATCTGCGAACTGTGCCGTCAGTTCCTCAGGCACACCACCCTGGCTATACTCTGGCGACAGACTCGCACTGGATCCTCTCGTCCTCCTACGCATACAAGAACACACGGCGACCATACCCATCGCAGCATTGCCACGGCGCAATTGAACCCCTCCGCCTAGACACCAGCCACAGCATCCGTGGCGCGAACCATCACCCAGGCCCCCGCGCATTCGTCACTCCACACCGGCACCCTCCCTAGAGCTACACTGCAAGAGCCGGGCCACACATTCTCGCTAACGTCAAATGATCGCCTGAAGCAATGCTGCGTGCAGAACGAGCCTCATGAGCTCAGATTCGGGAGAGAGCCATTCCAGCGCTCGCAACCACCATGGCCAGCAGGCAGACGTCACGGGAAGCGCCGGAGATGATTTGCCTGAATACGAGAACAGTGTCGATGAGAGCGTCATTTCCCAATCAGGCGCGGGACAAGAAGAAGACGGAGGCACAGACGAGGTCCGGTCGACAGATGACGGTTCTGAGAAGTTGACATTTGCAAAAACGAGGCGGAATGGCCCACGAGAACGTGTTCAAAAGTCGGCTTCAGATTTATCAATAAGATCCAAGGTTCTGAATGACGACAGTCCCGCGTCGACAGACATTCCAGATGACACTCCATCAGTCCAAGGCTCAGGCATATCATCCCCCACAAGCAGTCAGCCTCTATCACACAGCTCACTTCGCCCGCATCGCCCAACCTCCTTACAACCATTTGAGCGTCGCTTTTCTTCGCGTCTATCACCCTCCCCGCTTTCTTCCCCTCGAGGAACCTCGCCTGCCTTTCTGTCACCACATTCACGGCAATCTTCCATATCTAGTAATATTGTCAGCCAATATTTGACAGACGATGCCTCAGAGGCCTCTCAGGCACCATGGGAGGTTGTCCGCTGGACAAAACTTCGAAAAATCACGGCCCAGGTCTTTTCAGAAGTTGGCAAGCGCAACTTTGGCCGCCCAACATGCCTAAATGTTACCGTTTCTCTCGCCATCGGTACCTCGAAAGGCTTCATTCTCATCTTCGACTACCAACAAGTGCTCAAGTCTATCATCGGGCCAGGGACAAAGGCCATAGAGTGCGGTTCCATCACTGCTCTAGCAATCTCTGCAGACCATACTACTATCGCTGGCGGTCATGCTACTGGCCACATCTTCACTTGGGAATTGGCCAAACCCGCCAAGCCTTTTCTTCATATCCCACCCCTAGACAGAGAAAGCTTGGAGGACGGAAAGTCAGACGGTCACGTATCGGGTGTAGCAATCCTACACTTGGGATTTTTGGGGACACGTCATACAGCACTCGTCTCCGCTGATGATGCTGGTATGGCCTTTTCCCACCTGGCAACACGCGGGCTAGGCGCCCTTGGCCGCACAGTAAAAACGACTCGGATTCTAGGAAGGTACCCGCTATCTGCAAAATCACTAGAAAAACCACGAAAACCGAGTTCTGTTCTCGCCTTTGCTCCACTACCCCTCGGAAACGTGGAGCAGCCCACCGACGACATGGGCCTAACGGCTCTCTTGACACCCTACCTTTTGGTAATCGTATCAACCACCCCTATTGCGCAAACACAGCACAAAGCCCCTCGCCCAAAAGACGTCGTAGCACATAGTACGCTGAGTGGATGTCTTGCTTGGTTTCCAGCCGTCAAGCTGAAGACTTCGAGTGGGTCGACCAATGCAGTATCCAAAACAAAGCTTGTATACTGCTGGTCCAACGTCCTGACTGTACTCGATGTCCACTCGGATACAACAGCATCTTTAGAAAAGGACAAGCCACCAGAGCTTCGTTTCAAACCTCGAAGCCGTTGGAAGGCAGAAGAGGCAATTGTTGCTGTGCAATGGCTGAGCAGATCAGTTCTCGGAGTACTAACAATCAGTCAGCGCTTAATGATTCTAGAAGACAACACACTACGTGTGACCGACTCTTTTGATCTTCTCCAAAAGCACATTTACCACTCTGATCTCTTCTCGCGCCAACTCAAACCCGTCGTTGAGCAGCTAGATGAAAATGATGCTTCGATGCATGGCGTTGTGGCTGACGCCTTCTACATGAGCTTTAGAGTGTACAAGGGCCGCATGTTTTTGCTAGGCTTCAATGACTGTTCTATTGGCACTCTTTCAAACTGGGCAGATCGTTTGTTGGCACTCATGGAAGATGGCGATTACATTGCTGCTCTTGGCCTCGCAACTTCATACTATATTGGTGATGCAGACAAAATCACTGTTGGGTTACCCGAGGATGATGAAGCACGCCATGCTCTAGTGCAGCCGAAATTGCGTGAGATGATTACTGCATCTCTCAAATACTCCTTCTCGCAAGACAGTGATGTCGATGAAGAAGCAAGAGAGCGGCGACTGAAAGAGCTGGCCGAGGTGGTATTTGCAGGACTCATGAGTATGGAAGAGCTCGACTTTCTTTTCGAAGATGTGTATGATGCCTATGAAGAAGCGTCGGCGGAGAAGGCTTTCTTCGAAACCCTCGAGCCCTATATACAAGATGAAGAGATTGATTCCATACCACCCAACGTTTTGAAGGATCTCATCACCTTCTACGCCTCAGCGAACCGCTCAGTCCAACTTGAAGAGATGATTTGTCGACTCAGCACAGACACCATGGATCTCAACCAGGTCACGACACTTTGCCAACAATATGTCTTGTATGATGCGCTGATATACGTCTGGACCAATGCAATTGGCGACTACATTACGCCCCTCGTCAATATTCTGGAGCTGATCAAGCTGGTGGATTTCGACGTGAATGAAACGGACAACATCTACCTCACTGCGGCCAACAAAATCTTTCCATACCTCGCCTACACCTTTACAGGACGGGTGTACCCTGGAGGTGCGTTCATGGACGACGACCAGGCTTATAGTGCGAAGAAAGATATGTACCGGTTCTTGTTCTCAGGAAAGAACCTGCAATGGCCCCCCGGCTCTGGACAGGTCGTACTCACACAAACCAACGGTAGTCCTGAACCACCTTTCCCCTACCTGCAACTGGTCCTTGACTTTGATGCTTCAAGCTTCATGAGTATGCTGAACGAGGCCTTTGAAGATAGCTTTTTGAATGGTGAGCAAGACATGTCCAACGGTACACAAGTCAACGGCACAAAGAGCGGCTCTACCCTTACACCGACTCGCCAGTCCATTATCAACTACCTGTTCGGTATCATGAACACGGACAATTTTGATCCGGCAGACATTATCTATTTCTACATGTTTGTAGCCAGAAATTTGCCCAAGTATCCACAGCACATTATGCTGCCAGGAACGTCTTTACACCAGGTCCTTGTTGGTCTATGTAACTATCCTGCAGAAGCGATGAAGGAAGATTGCCAGCTCTCTGTCGAGTATCTGCTCTCCATCTACCATCCACCAAACCCACAGTCTCTCATCCTACTGTTCGAGAAGGCTGGATTCTATCGCGTGTTGAAGTCTGTCTACCGCAGCGTACAACAGTATGACAAGCTGTTGGAAACGTACCTGGACGAGGCAGAAGAAGAGGACTCTGTGTTTGCGTGTATTGCTGACATTCTGCGGCCAAACAAAGGCCTTACAAAAAAGCAGATTAACGAAGTTAAAGCAGTTATCCTCAACCGGGCTGCTGACC